AAAAAAAGTCCATACTCGGACGAGACGGCCGTTCGGGTCTTTCAATTTTTCAATAGTGGTCAGACTTAGATAGGTCCGTGATTCCAAAGAAACTAACAGTGTCTTTAGACTTACGCATCTAACAGTTACTTTTGAACGAATCTTGTGATTTTCGGATTGGACAAACTTGTAAAAAATATCATGTCAGATAGCTGAAGATAACCAGTAAGAGGCCCTGGACAGAAATTCCCTGTTAACTGGTTATTTATTTATTTATTTTAACACATAGATGTTGGTACAAGGAGGCATCAAATACATATGCGCCACACAAATCCCATTCGACATGTGTGAGGGCTGTGATACTGTCCGGGTGCCCAAACTGAAGCAGGTGGTTTTCTTAGGGGGCCACACCCCGAGCCTTTGACCTAATGGTCTAACCCACAAGACAGTGGAACAACGTCAGGAGATGCAGCCCCATGGTAGCCGGTCACCAATAATTGGTTCACACGCCATTTGTCCCTTCAGAATCCTGGAGCCTATATGCACAATTGGTTTGGAATCAGGGTTTTCCAACTCCCCTAGGTGGATCCTCCATATCCACCAACCCGGTTAAAGCGCCGGACATTTGCTTTTGTCCTCTCGATTTCGCAAACAACACTCCCGCCGTGAGAACGCAGTGAGTAGGACTTCCCTGGCAGTGGCTGTATACGCATGGCCACGTGAGAGCATTTCAAGAGGGGGAGCTAGCTCTCCACACCCTCTGCCATACCAGGACATTCGGGGGCGAATGTAGAGCGTCGTCCTTGCGCAAAGGTCATGCTAATCTTACCCTAAAGTATGTGTCGGAGGTGGGATTCGAACCCACACCCACATCGTGGACCAGAACACCCAGAAGAACACTCTTGAGTCTGGGACCTTAGACCACTCGGTCACTCCGACGTGCTTAACTAGAGATAAGAATAATAAAAGTCTTCTTGAAACGAAATATACGGTACCAAACTAAACAAAGCCTACAAACTTACAACGGATATTGTTTCGCGTTATTCGTATAAGAGCCACATCAATATCAGAGCGTGGGTAGCCTTCATCATCAACTAATGGGGTATCCATACCAACATTGCCATTCTATTTAGAAACAGTTATAATGGGTAAGTAAAAATTAACAGTAAAAAATGTAGCTGATGACTATCTTTTATTCAACATGCGTCAAATTAACAATCGCAGATAAGTAATTCTGACTGGGTACAAATAATTTTAATATCTACAATTCCAGTCTATTTTTTGTTAGCTACCACGTTTACCATTCCAATTGTAAATCGTTATAAAAGCTGACCTGATTGTAAAGTGAAAGAATGAAAAGAGTATTACTGAACTTGGTAAGTTTTTAGAAGAGTACGTTCAGTGAATTAACTATGAAACTGTTACTCAGAGTTATATCCTGGTTATGTACCGACAGGGATTTATTAACTATCCTGCATGTAACCCTTCAACTTATATAATTATGCGTTTTTGAGTATGATATTTACAAAGAATACAGACACCTTAAGTGACATTTTCGTGCATTAAGCTTCAGTTTGCGACTACAACTTCAATATAGTGAACGAGAGTGCCGCTATTCTCTTCGTATCTGAAGCGCAACTAGAGTAAGAGGTCTAGTTTCTTAAAAGCTTTATTGATAATGAATCCAGTAAAGTTAAAAACACATAATCTAATCGGATATATATGAAATACAATGATTATAATTTATGAACTGAGTAGTTGTCACTCAACACAAATCATATCAAAAATGCATTGGAAGTTAATAAAATAATGTAGCGTCAGTGGTCTTGACCTCTAACAGCACTCAAGACCACTGACCTTACACACCGTAAATTCACCTTAAGTAGATATTGATTTAGTCCTATATAAGTTTTTTTAAGAGAACAAAACCTTAACAACAATGTACCTGGCTGGCCTTCCTACTGTTCTGATTGATGAGTTGGAAAAGTATGAATTCTGTGTGGGACCAAAAATTGTTGGCATTTCCAATAACTTCATCATATACTAGAGTTATTCGTGTAAACAAATCAAAACATTAATTCTACACTGAAAGTTACAGGCTATAAATTTGATGTCAAGAGCAATAATGAAAAGATTACTCGATATAATAGTTGCTGATGCTTAAAATGTTAAATCATTTTCATCATGTTAACATAAAGGTAAATGTGAGTTGTAGTGACAAAAAATATTTGAGAGAGAAGAATTATCTAGAAACCTAAGAAAATTAGAGGGTTAAAGATATTTGGATATAAAATAAAACATCATAGACGAAGTTTAGTTTGAAACAAGCAAAAGGAACTACTTGTTTTGCATTATATCTTCATCCAGCCGAATTTTATTTGTTTCTAAACACTTCTAGTTTGATTCACCTAAGCTATAATAGAAAGATGACTAACATACGCTATTCACATTCCTTAACTTTCAAAACCGTAACATCAGAGAATATCTGTCTTCATTAGCTTCGTATGTGATTCAAAGTAGAAATATAAGTATTTCTTTTTTTTTAAAAAGATGCCTATCCAATGACTATTCAATTAAAATACATGGTTTGTTAAATATCCATTCCGTACGGATTAACTACGAAATTTAATAAATATGAAAATGTTTCAATTAAACTAAAATTTACCTGACGAAGTATTTCACTTAATTCCGATAATTTTTTTTCGATTCTATTCTTTTCATCCACTAATCCATCACACTTCAATTTGATTGAATTCAAGTTATCAGAATTTGTATTAACTGCCTAAAAATAAATTTAAGATACTAAATAGAAAACAAAGTTTTTTTTCTTAAATGGAACATTTAAGAGCTTCAATGTAATCTTACTTATCAGTCAAAATAACATTCATTCCAACAAGGATGCTTGGAAATAATTCTATTTTAATTGCTCTAATCTATATATAGCATATTAAAAAGAAGAATATATTTGTAAAATCTCAGCGAATTAATTTTAAGTAAATCCAACGTTTCGCCTGGCAATCTGGTCCAAGCTTTTTCAAGGAAAATATAATCAAACAAAATGATTAATATTTCATGGAGGAAAAGAAACAGAACACCTATTGAACTTAATGTACTTGGGATAAATGTCCTCATTATGAATCGATAGACTCAGAAATTGAAAACAAATATTGATAAGCTGTACTCAATACAAAATTTGTTAGGTACAAAAAAAAACACAGACACTACCAGAAGCTAATACAAACGAAACACCACTTGTTTGCTTGGAATTTGAATCAAAAATAACTTTTCTAGCATATATACAGCACTATTTAACTAAAAAAATAGACTTCTTAATTTGATCATTGTTTACGAGAATCTAAGTATTTAATAAGATTTGTTCGAAATGAAGACAGAGATTATACTGACATTAAAGTAAAATACTGAAAATTAAACTTTTATAAGGCTTTATTCTAATATGATTATAATTTCAATGCTTTTTCTAAAGTTTTGACATAATTCGTATGTTGAAATATTTATAATTCGTATTACTAATCCTATACATTTTATGTCTTATTATGACTAGCGTAAAAACGATAAGGACATTACTCCACTTTTATTCTAATATCGATGTGGATATGAACAACATTAAGACCTGAAATGCGAAAAGTAGTTGTCTCTCGAAACACTATTTTTATAGCATTATTACAATAAGCCATCTAACATTGAGTTAAAGATGAAAACTAACCTGGACTATGAACACTAAGATGGCCATCAGGGTAGTACATAAATGAAACTGGTCATTAGGTTATATTTTTTTAATGAGTTTTACAGTACTATCACCTGACTAACCAGTAATCAGAGAAATTCGGATGTAAAAATACACATTCCAACTAATATTTAAATAAGAAAAGATATGACATCCATAACCCTATGTCTATTCACAGAAAGTGCCCCAACATATCTCACATTTATATTTCAATATTGCAACACTATTTAAACTAAGAAATACACAATACTAGTAGGATAAGAGATCAATAAGTTTATACACAATAGGTATTAATACTAATACCTATAATTATATGACAGTAGCTTAAGTTATTATGGTAACATTTTTTATACTACCAGTAGGTTGAAAATACTATTACGCAAACATCCAGGCATACATGATTTCATTCAAAATGATCCAAGTGACCATGCAAAATATTTGAGTACGAATGAAATAAGTGAGATCATGAATAAACCAATGCAATGGTGTCAGCGTTATTGCCATCAACAAATGTATGCAATAGTCAAGTTATCAAAACGAATTTCTTTATTTGAAAACAGTGAATTGGTGTACAAATGTTTTCTTTACAATGAGCATTTACATAGATTTGAACAATCTACCTACAAGTTGCCACACTGTACTAGACATAGTCAACTTGTGTGAAAAGAGAATGGAGTAAGTTCTTTGATTTTATCTAAGTAAAATGAAGAAAATCAACACCCCCGAAAATAAGGAGTCCTTTTTATAAGGATTTCGAATAAAAGTAAAATGAACAAACTTCAAAAAACATTAAAACAGTAGCGGGAATTTAGTTGGAAGCTTTGGTTTGTTACAAGTATAAAATACTTAGAGATGACTGATCGAGTACATGGATTTCATAAAGTTCAACGTTTAGTTAGGTTAGAAAGCTAATACTGACAAAAGCTTATGTCAGTTTAACCAAATAACTGATCAGAATACTGAGATTCTGGCAATTATTTTTGTAAATTCAAACCAAAACCTCACAGATTGTATTTTGAGGAGCTAGAAATTATCTGTAACAAACAAATAAAACGTTTTAGCTCATAGTCAAGTATGCGACCAAGTATTTACTAAGTTGAGTTAGTTATTGATTATTTGACCATCTATGTTTAGCTAACTTCCGCTTCACAAATAGCACAAAATCAAAACTCCACCAGGTAATCTAATAAGCTATAATTGAATTCATGATAAACTAAACACAATAGGCTTAAAGATCTGTACAAGTGCTTGAGAAACATTTCCTCATACAAGAAAAGCAACATACATCGAGAACCGTCAGGCAAATATTGTCACACAAATATCAAGAATACGGATGAAGAGTTCTGTTGTGCACGTTCCAAACAACAGATTGAAATCCATAAAATTTTCAATTTCTATTTACCACTCATTTCTACATCATATTATATGATTGTTCAGTGCCGCAAGGCTTCCAACCTTTAAGTTGCAAATTTGAAACTGACACGACGTAAATAGCATTAAGGAACTTAGTTGTATCGCAAATGATCACAAATGAGACCTGTTAAACGTGTAAGTAGGATTCAGTCAGTAGAGTTATAAAAAAATACTTTCACTAAACTAATGCTGTAAATATGGTCAATAATTACAAAAGAATGACTGAAATACATCTATTTCGGTGACGAACTAACATGAAAACTCAAGATTAATTATTTGAGTTAGAGATTCAGGGTTTTCAAACAATATCCCAGTCTTCATTAAATCCAACAAGAAAAAGAAAATTAGCTAGCAAATCAAGTTTTCTTCAAATAATGACCGATAAAAAAGGTGAACATTAGAGATCTACTTTACTGACAAGTAAAAAACCCTAAAAACACAAACTATAAAGAAACAAAATGATCAAAAAACCTTGATAGTGATAAAAGGTTTATTTACACGGTTATTTTACACTTAAAATGGGATAACATGGATATATTTACAAAACTTTATATGAATGTATTTAATTTTCGTATTTTAAAATGGAGCGATAAAAGTTAAATTGGTTAAAGCGTCACATATAGTTTTACGATCAGGAACTTCTGTGAATGGCTCCAATTCATTTGTTAGAGCAATCAATGGGATTAAACATGTTAATAAGCCATCGAGTAGTAACGACTCTACACCTACAGGGTCAATTGGTCCCTGTAAAACAAACAAGAAAACAAGTAAACTAAGTATATATATATATATATATATATATTCTACTTTAATAAACTTAGACTCCAGATAACCTTGAGTATAATACATCAATCTGGGAGATTTCAAATGGTTTTTCAGGGCGACACTATAATTTATGGACGAGCCAATCAGATTTACGATAACGTCTGAGATTTTGACGCGAAAGTCATTCACCTATTCGGCTAAATAGTCTTGGTATTATAGCTGATGTCAGTTCGTGATGAAAACCCTAAATCTAACTCCTAACACTAACCATCAACTGTAAATCATAATCCTTATCCTTAAAACTACTTTATAACCCTGATTTAGTTCTAGTAAGTAAGTAGACACTCTCAAGGTCACTTTAGCGTCGCTCAAAGGTCGTCCATAAATTATAGTCTCACTGCTTTTCGCAATACACTCACCGTTTGGATCATATCTGCAGTAAAATTCACGATAATGCAGTAGATTACAGGAGCGAAATTTACTATTTCCACTTAAGATAGCTACAATGGTCACATGATGCTGTAGATAGAAGAGTGAATTGAATTTTTGTTACAGCTTACTTGCTAAATGGCTATGTAATGAAAACTAACTTTTAGTGGGAAAGTGTCTTCAAAGTAAAAATACAGTAGCTCAATATTCCGAACTGTTATTTAAGCATAACATAAAATGACTTAAAATATTTGACTGTAGGATATATGGCCTCAAGCTTTTGTAACAAACATACCAGACTGATATTTAATTATCCAACAGAACGGGTAATGAGCTAGATATGTGTTGCAAAAACTCACAGATAATGTTATGAACAGTAAACGTTTAAGCAAACAATTTCTCTAATCATAGCTGATTTGTGCAACTAATTTTCTGGTCATAAAGAACGATCATAGATGAGACTTCCAATTACCTCATAATCATTAACATTTTTAGAAAATGTTGCAAATCGATCACTTAAAAGCTGGAAATGAGCGGCCAGATCAAGCAAACTATAAAATGTTGTTTGTGTGCGACTGAGTTGAACTTCCAAACGATCACGTTCTCTTAATTTTCTATCTTCGGATAGAACTTCCCGTTTTCCATGCTGTTCAATTTGTTTTAAAAGACGCTTTGCCTTGTTTTTCCATTCGCGTTTAACTTTTTCTGGCACTGTTAACCACAAAGCCTTAAATAAACAAAAAAGTTAGGTTGGATAAAAACGAACAGATAAGTAAATTTGAATTAACTAATCAAAAATCAATTTATCGTGTTGTACTACATCAAACTCAACAATATATCTGCAAACAGCGAGCTAGGCAGCACTCTGTATTCTGTGTTGATTAAAACCACACACGACATGCCAGGTTTCGTTGGCTAACTACAGGCGTAGGTGAGGATAGTTAACTGATCAATAAATGAAAATTCACTTGTGTACCATAGATGGCTAGTACCTACTATCCTTATACACATAAGAAGCATTTCAAGCACCTAGGTAAGTAGACTTACGTGCCAAATTAAACTTTCTACATAGTTCTATATTATTTTGCTGTCAGTTACTCAAATCCCTGTTAAAAATAAGCATTCTATAGCAACTCTTATCAAAAATCTCATCACATCGCAATTAAATACTATACAGTTTGTACTTGCTAACTCCTTTAATTATGTCTGCAAGATCGAAGTTTCTATATTTTCTTGCTTTCATATAAGTCTATTCCTCTTAATAATAAATGGAAAAATCGGAACGGTTACATTAGGTTTATTGAAATCCAAATACTGTACAACGATCAAAACGCATAATTATGACATTTGCAATAAGCTGAGTCAACTACAAAACTGTATATACTAGGATATGAGTGTTTCACAGTTACTCATGTTTTCCAGTAATCAATTTTATAATTAACTTCGCCTGGAGCCCCTTTGAGGCTACTGCCGGTCCCAAGCTCGGATAAAGAAGGAAGGTTGGGCATGGGGTTGACGACCCCATCCCGTAGAAAACTAACTCGCTGAAAAAACGCTAACCAAGAAAAACAATTCAAAGCATTTAAACTCTGCCCTGGAAGTTAGAGGGTCTTCATTTAGAAAAGTTTCTTCGGAAGTCACGAAGCTGAGGCCCCTACTGACAATCAGAGCAACCATTAATTTAGGTAAATGGGATGTTTGCACAATGTGGGAGACTTGGAGAGTCATCCAAGCTGCTGCAGAAATGAAAAGATACAACCTGGAGGTACTGAGAATCAGTGAAACACATTGAAGGCAGGTCGGACAACAAATATTAGCTTTAGGGGAGCTGTTGTTACATTACGACCATAAAGAAAATGCTCCACATGCACAATGAGTTGCACTGACGCTATCCAAACAAGCACAAAATGCACTTATAGGATGGGAGTCTCATAGACCCAGGACCATCAAAGCCTCCTTCAAAACAAAGAAAGAGGGCATTACAATGAACGTCATCCAATGCTATGCGCCTACCAACAATTACAGTGAAGATATTAAACATCAATTCTACGATAGGCTGCATTCAATCGTTGAGAAATGCTCAAGAAAGAACGTGACCATTCGGATAGGAGACCTAAACGCCAGTTGGAATGGGCAATACCAGATAAGATATCATGGGACGATATGGACTCGGAGAAAGGAACGAAAGTGGTGAGATACGCAAAAATATGTGCCTTCAACAAACTGGTCATAGGAGGCACTAAATTCCCGCATAAACGCATTCACAAAGCCACATGGACTTCACCTGATCACACAACACAGAACCAAATCGATTATATCTGCATCAATAAAAAGTTCAGAAGGACGATGGAAGACGCAACAACCAAGAGAGGAGCTGATATAGCCTTAGATCATCACTTGCTGGTCGCCAAGATGAAACTGAAACTCAAGAAGCACTGGACAACGGGTCGGATATCACGAAATTTTAATACGGCCTTTCTTCGGGATGCTGACAGACTCAACGGATTCAAGATAGCCCACAACAATAGGTCCCAGGCCTTTCACGATCTACTCAACGGAGAGGGAACTACCATGGATAACAAATGGAAAGTGATCAAGGAGGTGATCACTTCAACATGTCATGAAGTTCTGGACCACAAGAAGCACCATCACAAGGAATGGATCACTGTTGATACAATCAATATCAGACGAAACAAGAACCGATAAAGCCAGGGCACAAGCCGAATACACGGAAGCAAACAAGCAAGTGAAGAGTAGCATAACTGACAAACGTAAATATGTGGAAGATCTATTAATGACGGCGGAAAAGGCTGCAAGATACGGAAACAATTGTATGATACAATAAGTAAGCTCACTGGAAATTATCGTAAACCAGAACGACCAGTGAAAATCAAGGAAGGTAAAGTATTCACCAACATTGAAGAACAGCGGAACAGGTGGGTAAAGCACTTCAAGGAACTCTTGAACTGACAAACCCCACTGAACACACCCGACATCCAAGCAGCACCCACGGACCTCCCAATCGATGTTGGCCCACTAAAAATTGAAGAGATGAGCATAGCCATCAGACAAATCAAGAGCGGCAAAGCAGCAGGACCAGACAACAGAGGCACTAAAAGCAGATGTAGCAGTAACTGCAAGGATACTCCACATTCTATCCAGCAAGATATAGGATGAGGAACAAGTACCAGCAGACTGGAAAGAAGGACATCTTATCAATATACCAAAGAAAGGCGATCCCAGAAAGTGTGATAACTACAGGGGCATCACTGTTCTCTCAATGCCAGGTAAAGTCTTCAACAAGGTATTGTTAAACAGAATGAAGGACTCTGTAGACGCCCAACTTCGAGACCAACAGGTTTAATTCCGTAAAGATAGATCGTGTACTGACCAAATCGCAACTCTACGGATCATTGTGGAACAATCAATTGAATGGAATTCATCACTCTACATCAACTTCATTGACTACGAGAAAGCATTTGATAGCGTGGACAGGACAACACTATGGAGGCCTCCTCGACATTACGGCTTGCCTGAAAAGACAGTCAACATCATACGGAATTCCTATGATGGATTAAACTTCAAAATCGTGCGTGGATGACTGCTGACAGACTCGTTCTAAGTAAAGACCGGTATCAGCCAAGGTTGCTTACTCCCGCCCTTCCTCTTCCTCCTGGTGATCGACTGGATCATGAGGACGTCAACATCTTAGGGGAAGCATGAGATGCAGTGGACAGCTAGGATAAAGCTGGACGACCAAGACTTAGTGGATGTTCTGGCTTTTTTATCGCACACCCAACAACAAACGCAGAAGACGACCAGTATAGCAGCAGCCTCAGCAGCAGTAGGTTTCAATATACACAAAGGGAAAAGCAATATTCTCCGATACAACACAACATGCATCAGTCTAATCACACTTGGCGGAAAACCTTTGGAAGATGTGAAAAGCTTTACATATCTGCGCAGGATCATTGATGAATACGATGGATCTGATGCATATGTGAAGGCGGGGATCGGAAAAGCAAGAGCCGCCCCCAAATGCCCTGGTACGGACGAGAGTGGGAAGAGTCCGCTCTCCCTCTCGAAATGCTCTCACATGGTCACGTGTATATAGCCTCTACCAGGGAAGTCCTACTCATCACCTTCTCCTGGCGGGGGTGTTGTTTACGAAAATGAGAGGATGAAAAGCGAATGTCCGGCGCTTTAACCGGATTCCAAACCATTGGTGCACATGGGCTCCAGGATCCTGCGGGAACAAATGGCGTATGAACCAATTGTTGGTCACCGGCTTCCATGGGACTGCATCTCCTTACGATGCTCCACTGCCTTGTGGATCAGACCTCCAGGTCGAAGGCTCCGGGTGTGGCCCCCTAAGAAAACCACCTGTTTCGGTTTGGGCACCCGGACAGTATCACAGCCCTCACACATATCAAACGAGATTTGTGTGGCGCATATGTATTTGATGACTATGTGTTAAAGTAAATAAAAATAACTATGCTACACAGTAACATGTAGAACATTGCAAACAATTTATAATGCTTATGCACGAGTCAAAATCTGTCAACACATTAGTTTTAGTAATCAGTTACCCTGTTTAAGAGATTTGTCGGAATATCACTGCCTCTAATTAGTAAAGTGTCGCCTCCTTGTACCAATATCTATGTGTTAAAATAAATAAATAAATAAAGCATATCTACAACTGAAGAACATCTGGAACTCAAGACAACTCTCAACGAACACCAAAGTCAGAATTTGCACTACAAATGTCAAGACAGTTTTACCGTATGGGGCGGGAACTTGGAAAACTACGAAAGCCATCATCCAGAAGATACAAGTGTTTGTAAACAGCTGTTTACGCAAAATACTTCGGATCCGCTGGTCAGACAATATCAGCGACAACCTACTGTTGGAGAGAACAAACCAGGTTTCAGAGGAGGAACAAATTAGTAAGATGCGCTAGAAATGGATGGGACACACATTAAGGAAAGTACCCAACTGCGTCTCAGGGCAAGCCCTCACCTGGAACCCTCAAGGCCAAAGGAGAAATGGAAGGTCAATGAACACATTACGCCGAGAAATGGGGATAGAAATGAAAACAATGAACAACAATTGAATAGAACTCGAAAGGAAGGCCCAGGACAGAATGAGTTGGAGAACGCTGGTAGGCAGCCTACCCTCCGATGGGAGTAACAGGCCTAAGTAAGTAATTTTATATTTGACACTCCTAGTTTTCAGCTAAATAAATCTTAATTTCTCGGTTCACATTTATTAATTTGGAAAAAACGGTCAAGAAAATTGGAAAACTATAAGACATTTTATTGAAAACTAAATGTTTGCTGGTTTCCAAACACAAACTTCGCTAATTCAGGGAATTATTACTTACTAAGTCTTAACTCAACTAGGTGCTTTAGAGACTTATGAGAATTCTAAGTTTTTACGGGCATTTTTGCTGACTTCATGTGCAAGATTATCGGTTGGTTATGTATACGATTTAACCACACTGTTTCAATAAAAACATCCTATTCCCTTAACATTTCAAGGGAGTTTACTCCGTTCTTGTTTACATTACAGTGATGATTTGATCTTTTTGACCAGATGTTCGATGAAATTTGATATAGTAAGAAAAATTCATTTGACGGATCTTTCTTTACCCTTAGCAAAGGCTTCGTGAAGTTCTGTGCTGTTGTTTTCAAATAATCAGTGTGACTAAGAAATAGATCAGTGGAAAATTGAAATTATTGATATTAATCATTATAAGTACCCGCAAATAGAGCGAAACAACCACAAACAGTGCTGAAGTTCTTACAAATATTTAAAGCAAAAACCTTGTGTATATTTAAACGTTAAAAATATCTAGCGAAACGATTGTTGTCGATAAACAAAAATGTTGAAGGATGTGTGATCAGCTGTGATAGAGACATCTTAAGAAAGAGGTGGGAAGCCTTACGAGCCAGATGTTTTCCTGAAAAAGAACTTCAGTGTGCCAAAATCCACTCGCCACTACAGCTTTTACAATCATACATAGTAGAGAAATAAAAACTCCCCTGACACCTTGACTTTGATATAAAGAATGTAGTGAGAACATGAATAAGCACCATCTTTTAAATTGATTAAAACAATAAAACAGAAAGATAAAATATAAATTATATCTATCTTAGCAGAGGTTACAAACCTGCCATCTACGATTGGATTTCTGGCTTTCTTTTCCTGAACTAGAGATACCAAGGCCAGTTTGCATGTTATCATTGGCATCATTTGTATCATCAACGAGTGTCGAGCCTGGAAATGATCCATATTTTTTCTTATTGACATGTACGAAAAGTGAATACCCATTGAGACGTCTGTAATGCTTAAATTCCTTGATATAGTGGATATATATAAGTTAGAATTATTCAGTAAATTATACACATGACCAAAATATAAAACATAATACATAGTTAAAAAGAAGAATATATTTGTAAAATCTCAGCGAATGAATTTTAAGTAAATCCAACGTTTCGCCTGGCAATCTGGTCCAAGCTTTTTCAAGGAAAATAAAATTATAATAATAAATTATAATACATAGTTATTGTAAATCTATCAAGAACACTAATGATCTATTTGATATAGTTTGTTAACTTGTTTCAATTTTATATTCGCGATTCTCTCAGGTGACCACTTCAGTTTTACTCATTGGGTTACAATTCAAATCTTCTTTAACATAACTAAGTTTCATGCAACTAAATAGTACTTTTGACGGCGAAAAAAATCTGAAGTTGATGCTAAAACTCAAGCTTTGTTAATCAGTTGCATTACATTTTCTATCATTTGTTTTTTTTCAACCTATAATTAAAAAATTAGCGAGCAATACAAAAGTTTTTAGTTTTATTCCTGAAGTGCTCAGCACCAAGTCGTCCTATTAGTTTTATTAAAAAAAACTCTCAAGTTTAAAAACTAGTGCACCAGTTTTGAATTAGCTATTGTTTTATGCAATCAATATCATTCGACTTGCGATATATATAGAGACATATTTGATAGTATGATAAATGTTAGTACAACTAATACGAAGCAGTACATTAGTTTAAAAGGAGGAAATTTCATATTCCAGCTTCAAACATCCACGATGAAACTAATAACTAATAGAAGAAAATAAAATTCTGATTAGTTGATTGGGGATCTTCAGTTAATTCAAGGACAGGTGTAATACAAAAAAAGATTTACAATCCAAGATTTTATGATGTTCAGTTGTATCAAATTTTGTATTAAATGGGTAAATAAAATAATTTCACGGTGACGAAACGCCCCAGGAATTAAACACCAATAACTTTCTGGACAGTTGTCTAACACTACATATTAATTCAAAGAAACGATTCAATTCCAAACTCATTTCTTGATAAATACAAGCAAATCCTATCAGAACTACAGATGTTAACCTAGTCGATAGTATTTTTAGTCAAATAAAAAAACAAGAATTGATTGAACTGAAGTAAGCAAATGACGAAGACAATAATAATGTCTGTCTTTCAAATATTCACAATCAACCTGTCTGAATTTCATAATAAGTTACAACATAATAATATAAATAGCATGACTAATATTTTAAATCTTGATGAATAAAAATCCAAGAGAAAAAAGTGGATGACTAGTGAAGACTAACCTCAAAGTCGATATCATTTATTCCTGCACTACTTTTCATCCGACCGGTAGTTGATACAGAAGCATTAAGTGTTGTTGATGTCTCTTCAATATTTTCTTCATTGATAGTTGATAAACTACTCGAAGTATTATTTGTTACTAATTTGTCATTTTCAAATGAAACTAAACCATCTATGTTATAATATGAAAAACAACTATTGTGGTAAGGATATTTGTAGCAATATATATTACAAAAGCAAATTTTAAATTTTTCACATGTATTTGATGAAGTAGCTTATGCGAAAACGGACTAATTTGGGTATAACTTTCGTTAAGGGATGATATTTTGTAGATATCTATTGAAAATTAAGAAATCACCCTAGTACGAAATTTTACACATCCGACTATGCGCAAGATTGGAGTTTACACTTTCCAATCTAGTATGTTTGTAAAGTGTTTTCTAGCATATATTAGCTTGTGACTGAAACAAACATAGTATTTTTGTTTGAGCAAAATTATATATAATGAAATACTACGAATTGAATTCAATTGAGAAATGCAACACTCATATTTTGGTTGATATTTCCCTAAACCACCTCCTAATATTTATAGCAAAGGTCCGTTATAAGTACAGAAATTTAACATTTTTAAATAGGAAAAAAACGATCAAACCGACATTCCACCTTTTATTAGTCCTAGAAACTTCATATGCTTTAGCCATGAAAACTAGTCAAATGTTTAAATAAGCACACTTTGACAATTTCTGTTGAGTTTACTCTTTTTTTATAAAATATAGGAGTCCATAAATAAGCCATGTAAAAAGATTTATATGAGCTAAAAATTAGTTAAGTAGATAGGCTATTAAATGTAATAGGGAATTAATCATGTAGCATTTTATGTCGTATTAGTTATTTAAATCTTCCTATTGATTTTTAGGACCGCAATTGATCAGTCCCTTATTGGCATACGTGCATCCTGTGCGAATTGCCTCAATATTACCTGAAGTCATAAGCATCTATAAACTAACTAATCCTACAATATGCTTAAACAAGATATACTTTGATATGTTAACTCACTTTACAAACTTAATAATGAAAATCGACGATACAAATCCTGATTCTTATAATGCTTTACCACAACTCCCATCGGACGACATATTCAGTTCGCAGTAGTGAACGTCATAATTGATGTTTATTTGCTTGGTTGTGGAAATTAAATTAAGTACGTGTTTTTTTTTTGTAATGGGCTACGGAAAAACAGGGAGAACTGTAGTTTATTCCTCCTAGTTTAAGATTTGTCATCAGTGAGGATTTATGATCATACCAACAGCCGAACCCAGACCGACTACGTCTTAGGGCGAGCGCGTCACTTTTAGACCACTGAGTCAGGATTTACTTTCAAGTTTTGCACTATAGTTTAACAAAGATTCATAATTTATCAAGCGATATATTCAGCGATTGCAGTCAAGTACATACACACTTACTTTTTGGCCTTTTAAACTTCCATAAGCTAATGAATCGAAAATCATTTATCATTCAGATACAATGCAAATATCAAATAGTGTTCATTTTGATGCAACTATATATTTTGTATCAATTTAGTTCCACTAATTAGCAACCGGTAATTAAGATGACAAAACTCAACTTTGAAGACAGATATGCATAACACAAAAGCTGAGAAAATCGGAATTCAGCTTTACTTCTCTCACTTAGCACAGGTACTTAAAAAAACCTTGACTAAGGTTAACAATGTTTTTCAGAATAAAAGGAAAAAGACTCATAGAATCTTCACTCAACACATGCCAAACCAAAACACACTATTGTGCGAAGTTGGTTTGTAATTAATGGAATCTTTTGAATCGTCTATAGATAGTAAGTTTAATTGGAACATTTATTTAAGGGGAAAAACAGCTACACAAAGAAATACGTTCACAAATAAATCAGTTAACTTACCAAACTTAGACATTAGATCAAATGCAGGAAGTAATAAGTTTCCAGGTGGATGAAAAGGTCGCAAGGTTAGAAGAAGGGGTTGTTGTACAGGCTAAATAAAACAGATAATGCCGTTGAAAAGATTAATGACTCATGAAATATGTTTAAAAATAACCATATTAAGCATATAAGACTAAAATGCTTATGATTTGCTAAAATATTTAGTTAAGTAAACTGTTCGTCATACTGATATTTATCACCCACGATGAAACTGAAATTCCAGTATAATCCCTATGACATGATACAAAATCGGTCACAATGCCACAAACGCATTTATTCTTGATCTTCTCCTGTATCTTAAGTTTTAGTATTATTTCATATTTATTATTCCCCTGTTTTATACCTTTGTCTAGACTATGTTCTTCAAGTTTAGTCTTTCCCTTTATGACTGATATCGACCGATCCACAAATGTAGCAGGTTCCACGTTGCTTATGACTGACCAACACTAAGATTGTATCGACCTCAATGCTAATTATCCCGTTAATTTCATCTTATTTATTTATTATTTATTTGAACACATAAATATTGGTACAAGAGAGCGCCAATATATATGCGCCACACAAAACAATGGGAATTCGAAGAGAAGTAGAAAGAAAAAAAAAAACTAAGGAACGCAAAAGAAAAAGAGAGTAATGACGAAGAGGTACAATCAGAAGAAATCTTTCAGGTAAAGGAGACACAACCACTTTTTATGAAGAAAGTAAAAGAAGGTTACAGCAGGATCGCCACTGGCTTCTATTCTGAGCCATATCTGATAACGTCTCTAGCCACTGTGTAGCACCATCTCTCGGACCCCAGCCAGGGAGTCGTGAAGGACCAACACAAGCCAGTCCTTTGCAGCTTTCTTTCATGCCACGACACCATGTCATGCACTGACCACCTCTCCGCTTCTTCCAACCAGTCCCAGAGTCGGCAAATAATGCACGACGTGGAATTCTCTGGGACGACATTCGGAGAACATGTCCAAGCCACCGAAGTCGGTGTCTCAAAATGGTGACACCAATTGAGTTATCATCTCTGTGCCCGAACACACGATGCCCAACCTCTGCATTACTGACATGGTGTTGCCACTGAATGTCAGCAATCCTTCGGAGACAGCGATGATCGAACACAGAGAGTCGTCTAACGTCCTCAACTCGGAGAGGCCAGGTTTCACAAGCATAGAGCAAAACTGCTCTCACCGACGCGTTGTAGATCCGGCCTTTTACAGCCAGACTAACACCACGAAGGCGCCAAAGGTGGCCCAGATTGGCATAAGCCGCTCTGGCTTTCACTATTCGTGCATTGATCTCATCACTCACACCCCCACCAGCACTCATGCAGCTACCCAGATACACGAACTTCGCAACTACGTCTATCTGCTCACCGTCCAGGGTGAGTACAGGATTAGAATCATGCCAGTCTTGTAGAAGTACTTTGCACTTCGAAGGTGCAAAGCACATACCATACCTACGGACATTGATTGCCAACTGATTAAGTGCGGATTGCATGCCTTGGGCATTATCGCACAGTAAGACAATATCGTCCGCATACTCAAGGTCGAGAAGTCTTTCTCCAGGCAACAGATCCACACCACCATTACTTACATTCATCAGAGCTGTTTCCAGAATGTCATCGATGGCAAAGTTGAAGAGGAATGGTGAGATTGGGCAACCCTGCCTAACCCCACTGCTCGAATGGAACAATGGAGAGAGGTGGTTGTATGCCCTCACTCTGCCTGAGGTGTTTTTATACAGGGCTTTTAGGATGTTAATAAACTTCTCAGGCACACCCTTCTTCAATAGACAATCCCAGAGAACAGTCCTGTCCAACGAATCGAAGGCAGCCCTGATGTCAAGAAACACTACGATTGTTGGCCTTTGAAAAGTATGGCGGTGTTCTAACATTTGGCGGAGGGTGAAGATATGATCAATACATCCTCGACCAGAACGAAACCCAGCCTGCTCCTCGCGAGTCAATCTTTCTCGGGTTTTGAACAACCTACGAAGAATGACGGAAGCCAATAGCTTGGACGCAATCGGAAGTAAACTTATCCCCCGATAGTTGTTACAAGAACGACGTGAACCCTTTTTAAAGATAGGGATAACTATCGACTCATTCCATGACGTTGGTACACTCTCTAGTTCCCAAACCTTTGTAAACAACGTCGTCAATTCCTTAGTCAAAAAGTCACCACCATCTTTAAAAAGAGCCGGAGGTAAGTCATCTGGGCCAGGTGATTTGTAACGCTTCAAGAGTTGGAGTTCCTTGCGGACTTCCTCCTCATTTGGTGGATCAGTCGTCACCGGCCATGGAGGGCAGGACAGTCTGACCGATGTTGCCGGAGCAGCAGGCCAGTTGAACTGCCCTTCGAAAAATTCTGCCCATCGTCCAAGACGTCGATGGATGTTAGTGATTGGCATCCCATCATCCTCGCAGATTGTTTCACTCACACCAGACTTCTTGCTGCCAGTGGCTCGGATGAGTTGGAAGAGCTTCCGGTAGTTACCAGATGCAGCTGCTGCTTCCAGCTCATTAGCACCCATCGACCACCAGGCTTCTCGGTCCTTACGCAAGCTTTGCCCGATTTCCTTACGTAGCATCCTTCGTTTATGGTCAAACTCACGGTCACGCGGAGTAGACCGACGGGCTTCAATGAGTTGTAAGGAACCAGAAGAAACCCAGTGCTTAAAAGCGGGACGTTTCGCAAACCCACAACTGACTGTTCCCGCCATTTTCATGGCGTCATGCAATTGCAACCAATGCTCATCTATACTTTTCGGTGGAGTGGTAACTAGCCTAGAGGCTAGCTCGGTTCGATACTTACTTGCAACAGAAGTTGCAACCAGCTTGCTAACATCAATCCGTTGATGGCGTTCACTTCGTTGTCCACTGAAAAGTAAGGCAAGATTGGCGCAGACCAAGGCATGGTCAGAGTCCAGATAGGTACTCCAAAAGGAGCGGCAATCTTGTACACAACCACGCCAGCGGTAGCTGATCGCGATGTGATCAATCTGAGTCCAGGCTTGAGATGCAGAGGGAGGACGCCAGGTGGCACATCGGCGATGACTGTGCCGAAAGTTAGTGCTAGCCAGAAACAGGTTGTGGTCTGTGCAAAGTTGCAGTAGACGGTCCCCGTTATCTGACCTGCGACCAACGAGTCCCCATCGGCCACCTAAACGACTCTCTTCTGTGCCTAGACGCCCGACCTGAGCATTCAAGTCTCCGGCTAGTACTACAATATCTGTCGAACGCACTTTCTGGAGAAGAACTGATAACTGGTGGTAAAACTCATCCTTGATTGCATCCAGGCTGCAATCTGTCGGGGCATAGGCGGAGATGACGAAAAGACATCGTTTCTCACGCCCATTTCTTCTCACTTTGATGAAACTTTCTAATCTAACAGCACATAACCGACTGTTAATGGGGATCCAATCGACTAGTGCTGCCTCAGCTCTAGCGCTTAGTGCGACACCAACGCCAGCAAGACCAGACGAAGATGCCACAGGGTCCCCGGATAAGCGCACGTAAAACAAGCTTTTCGAAGCGACAGATGGAGATCGAATTTGTAGTACTTCGCCAGAGTCTTGAATACGGGTCTCGGATAGACAACACACATCGATATTAAGACTTTCCAAAGACATAGCCAGCCCTATCTGTTGTCCGACCTGCATAAATGTGCGAACGTTGAAGGCAGCCCGTGTGGATGGTGCACGTGGTTTCAGAAAATCTGCTTCAGTCCTCGTATTCGGTGGTAACATACAGAAATTTGGGCTAATGTACTTTTGCATTAGATCCGGCGCTGATCATAAATGATTAACTGAATTTTAAAACGTAAAAATGAACATCTTATGTACTGCTTCTATTCATATACAAAGAGTTACACCACACAATTGATATATTTATACCATACAATACAGTTATACAAATCCTGATCACTAATCCAACAAAACATTTCTGCATACAAAAAGCCGAATGTCAACGTGTTTATTGTTACAACAATATACACTAGTTTTTGTACTGAAATCCATTAAAGTCAATAGAGTACTAGTAAACCTGAAAAAAATACTCAACACTTTACTGTCTATAAAACATTGAATAACTGATAAACGGAGGAGCATAACAGAAGCCAACATACTCATCCCAAGGATAATGAGCATATTTGGCTCACATGTAAGTATCAAATAATGAAATATCATTCTCGCACAATAGTGAAAGATTTCCCTTGAGATAAAATTAAAACAGAAAAAAGCATAAATACTGAAATCAAAATAAATGACCACAAACAAACTAATCCATTAGACCTCGGTGTAAAACATTGAAAGGAGGCTTTTTAGACCCTAAAACTCCAAATGGCTTTAAATTCTTTATCCAATGGTTGAAATTCAAGTGTTTTCATTGTTAAGCCACTCTACCTGATCCTATGCACCAACAGGTAGTTTGTCACATAGAGCTTTCTACTCTTCAATACTAATAATTTTCAAAAGTATCCAATTACTAGGTACCACAACCTTTTAAAAGTTAACAGTAACTGAAACAAGAAAGTAAGAGTGCAAAAAGACAACCCAAATTTAACAGAAATAGCTAAAATTGATGAAGCGACACAACTGGAATGTTGATTTCAGCCACATCAGTTAAAATTTCTATCCAGCCTTCTATGCGATAAAGTGGTACCCATTTCCCAAAAATAAATTTCGAATCATGAAATAAACTCAAAACTGACGTATACATTTTTAGAATGACAGTCCCAGCAGAAATGGCTTCCGAGAAATACAAAATATACTGAAGTTAGGTAGAAAAAATATTTTTAGATAACTAATTTAACTAATGAATTAAGATCCTTGGTAGTGTGATACATGCAAACATTTTACCTGACTTACTTTTGGAGCATTTCGCCGCCCTAGAATTATAAAGCAATAAAATTAAAAAGATATCAAAATTCAGAAAACAATGATTGATATCATTTAGTAAATCTATTTCTCAGAATGAAGTACACAAACTTATTCAATATACTATTTAAAGCTGTTGCCTCAAGTGAAGAAAAGCTTAAGTACTAATGGCCCTGTTTACACACTTTTGACCATAATTGATATGGATTACCAGTTACTATATAAGTGCAACTTCTGAACTGGAATATTGGGTCAGGATTTCAGGATAATTATCTTCCCATAGACGACTGTGTATTACCCCATTCCTTACTTAAAATATAGGAAAAACGACTGGAAATAAACCCTGTAAGTGTGACAACGACCATACTTCATGTTTAAATACCTTGCGTTTAGGATGCTATATCCTCAAATACAACGTATAAGGAAGATCAATCTTCATTTCGCACTTTGATTTAAGGCGATCTGCACTGAATTAGTTTCAACACATTTTCGTTGTACTACACTATTCCGAGTGAATTGTATTCATTAGCTTCTAGTTGTAGTTACTTGTTTGATTCTTGTATTGATTACTTTAATAAGATTTTGTATTCGGTGGCAATTACTCTGTTAAAAAGACTCGGTAATTAATAATCACTTAATTGATATATAACTGAGCCAACTTGGATGTAAATCATAATTTACTTTGGTTTCTTTCAACAAATCTTAACAAAATTTGTCTTTTAGAGTAGCTAAGTTAGAAGAGAACAGTTGTTTACTGTATTGGAATTGTCGTTAGAGTTATCACTCGTATTCGGTAAAATCTTGCTTCTGATTTTTATATGGTGAATACCATGATTACTAAGTTTTATTTTTATAGCTACTCAACAATATTGAACTTCGGTCAATGTGGATAGTTATCACCCAATACGCAATTATGCATTTATGCTTATTCATCAGCGTGAGGAGTAGTTTAACTATTTTGAGGCCAAATGTAGCGTTCGAGCTTATCATTTAAATATTTGTAGCCGAATAAATAACAGATGAATTTAGCTAAGACTGTTCACTGTTCAAGTTACACGTATATATTATTAGTAAACGTTCCCTTATTTAATTACTAATGTGACTGATTTGCCAATTACAGGATTTTGTGCTCAGCACAAGTGATACTGCCTGTCTGACCAAACCAAAGTAGGTAGGGAGGAGTACAAACCTGTAGACTATTGACTGAGTCGCATGGTTTAACAAATAACCCACTAATCCACTACTTTGATTAATGTGATACTCTAATTTACCTGTTAATTCAAGTTTACGAGTATACGATATTACATCCAAAACAAACAACGATAGAACTACTACATAAGCTTTTTGTGTATCGTTTGATACTAGATGTAACTACCGTAAACAAAGATCTGTACTTTCCTATCAACTATTTTATTCCTCATGAGTAAGTTTTAATGTTTGTTCTTTTTGAAATACGTTTCTCTTCCTATGATTCCTATTTTGCTAACTTTTTAACTCATTATAGTGGTTCAAAATGTAGAAACTGAGATCGATGACGCAAAATTGTGCCTAATTAAACAGTGGGTGAGTGACAATTTTAAAATAATTAAAACCTATTCGACTATTTTGTGGGTTTTATATTTTAAACTCTTTACCGTGCTGTTTGTCCCTTCACTATCGTTCAGTAACTACAACACTGTAATAATACACCAATAGCAACTCAGCATACAGCAATTTACTCTCCACAATGATATATGTTTTCTGGTTAAAGTGAAGCTATAATCAACAACAATAAAATACAATTCGATGAGGTTTATATTTTACTAACACCAACAGTAGTATACCTGAACGTTTCGTTTGTGACCGAATGCGAGGTTTGGTTGCTCGGACTTTTGTAGATGATTTTTCTTCAGATGAATCACTGTTACCCTCAGGATTATTAGGATTGGATTCATTCCTAGGTCTCTTCAAGTTTTTGCTTTTTGAATTCAGGGGACAAATCCCATCGCTAGTAGCATCTTGTTGATTTTGATTCCAAACCGACGTCAATGACAAAGATAAAGGTTTATCTTCAAACGGGTTTATGTTGACTATCTTTCTTTGTAAGGTTTCTCCAAAGTTGTTACCTAGCTGTCCAACACTGGACTGAGTATTTTGACTTGGCACATCACTCAAAATACTTTGCAAACAAGCGCCACGCCAAATAAGTTGGCTTCCTGAGTTACTTTGTTTTGGAAATAACACGACACGCTGAGCGACTTTTTCTCCCGCACTTTCTGTCGAGTTGTTACCTGATACAAGATCTGTAGTTGGTAACTTGATGATGGATAAACCAGGATGAGTCATATCACTGGAATCGATCTTTAAAATTAAAAATCAAAAGCTACAATATTGTATAAAAAAGTGCTTTGAGAGAAACTAGCAAGAATAATGAGATGAATCTTCACTTCCAGAATTACATCGCGTACACACTAGTTACAAGCATAAAAATCAAAAACCTGCATTAGAGCTTAAAAATGTCAAGTAGAATAACAATTGGCCTTACTCAATTTATCATAAAAGCTCGATGGTGAAATTCCATAAACGCCTATCGGTAAATGACTGTCAAATCATTAAGAACTAAGAAAAACAAGAAAGTCCTACCTCTCCAATTTATCGCAAAGGATCACTATACTGTACAAAAAGTTGTGATTTTGTTGTAACAGATTATGGGCTTCGTTGAATTTAAAGTGGACTTATCATTTGGGCTAATTTGCTGGTTTTGGGATCCCTAACAATGGATTTTAATTTCAACCTGTCACTGTGGTTACAAATACGGTTTGGAGCTTCAGAGTCAAAAGAATTATTTTTATTTCAAAACCTCATAAGCCGATTAAAGGCTGTCCAAAACAGAAATTCGTTACATTTAGCACTGAATCCAGGTATTACATCTTGGATATGGAAATGAACCTAGCAAAACGTTACTTGCAATCTTCCCCTTTCAAAGAAAACAACTACTCAATCCAGACAAAAATCGAAAATTGCGTGGTAAATAATGGGGTTTTAACGTAAAATTAGGAAAATACTTTGGACTATTGATCCTATAATTCTGAGAGCATTACTATAGCTCTTGGAACAAATAAAAACAAGTTCATGTCTCAGTTAGGAAGAAATGACGTCACACGAGTCCAAAAATATAATAAGGAACGTAAAGGAATAAGGAATGGCATTTGTCATTTGTTTAGACTTAGACATCAAACACTAGCACATTATTACTAAGACACCACTGTTACAATCTCTGGAAAAAACGTGTTTTAATAGTAATTCATAATATGTAAGAAAGTCTCGCTTTTAAATAACACAGTGAGATTTTATTTTAGGTTATTTCCACATATGTGCGTTTAGTTATTTATTTAAGCACATAGATATTGGTGCAAAAAGCCAGAAAACTAAATATGCTCCAAATAATAAGAAAATAAGATTGTGAGGAGATAAAAAAAGGAGAATGATGATAATTTGGAAAAAAAACAATAAATGGACAAAAATAGGTAAATAAGTCAAAAATGATGGGAGGAGCAGTTCAATTGAGAAAATATCAGAATCTTTTCAGTTAAAGTAGCACCTCTCACATTTATAAAAGCAAAAGAAAATTACAGCATCATTAGCACTGGATTTATTTCAACCTATATCTAACCTTACAAGCCACTGTGTAACACTATCTTCCGGACCCCAACCAAGAAGTCGTGAAGGTCACATAGGCTGGTCCTGTACAGCTTTGTTGCACACCACAGATGTCACCTACGCAAAAATTCACAAAGAGTACTGCAAATAAATAGCTAATCTACTTTTAGTTACAGCTTTACGCAAGAGCTACCTGAGACAGTAGTGTGGGAATTCATACAGGACTCCTTAATATATCATTTGAGGAGCGACTCTACACATAGATCGATCTTATTATTATAGGACTCGGGACAATCTCCTACTAACGCTGTGGACTTTGAATAATGACTTGAGTACTGACATTTTGTATCCTTTGAGTGTCTCTAAAATTTATCATCCCCGAAGTCATCAAAAACATGGTCGGATAAATCCAATTTTGAGTAACCATCACTTCACTGAGCAGTCAAAGACTGGAATCCTATATACAAGCAATCCTATATTCAGTGCATATCATCAGGAGAGAAATATATACTGCAATGGCCAACGAAAATACTGAGCTACCATTCTTATTACTGCCAAGAAAATTGACCAGTTTTATGGAGGTTTTCAAGAAAACAATCACAGATTTGCACAAATTTTGGTGAAAATCAGACAAAAAGTCAGAATCCTCATGTATTTAAAGCTCTTTTACAAAAATGATACTAAATATTCACAGAATGCAAATTCCGTAAACTTCATACCAATATCTTTAAACTCCCCATGGGAGAATCACATTTTCCACGAAATTGCCTTTACAAATAACAGCAATTTTTAGAGGATTGCTAAAACGAGGCATATTACAGCTAAAATTTTAGAAAGTATGTGCACATGTAGACGTAATCACTCTCAGTACTGAGAGTGAAGTCACTTCAACAGTAAAAAAAGCCTGACAGTCTTCAATTACATCGAAACTTCTAGTCAAGTAAAAAGTAAAAAAAAACTCGATTCAACTTAGTCGTACACAGCTCAGCTGAGTCACGAAAAAAATAGGACTTCGAAGTTCTGGATAGCAAAATAGGGAGGAAATGACATTGCACTCCGTGTTTAGTTTGAATTTATTTCGTGTGCTGATGGGGCGTGAACAGGAGTAGGAAAAGCCATAAATAAAATGAAAAAAATAAACCCAGATAGCAAACACATGGAATGCACTTATATCTAACAATCTAAGCAACCAACGAAAGTCAACAATAACAAAAGAGTAAAGTTAAGACTATCCGGTAACCGAAACCAAGGGCTGATAGCCTAACGCTGAGAATGACCTAAACAAGGCTTGGGAACCTTACGAAACACCTCAACGTTTTATCCTTAAACACGGAGACCTAACTGGTCATCGGCCAAAGAACCTTCGATGGTGGCCTATTCAAACAACTTTTCTTACCCAAACTTCCTCAACAGGTGCAAGCTATACTGGTCTCGTCTCAAAACAACGCCATAAACATGCTGGCTGCACCTGCCGAACTCATCTTAGAAATCACGAAATCTTCTAATACTGAGGTTTTTCAGTCAATGAAAAGCCTCAAACGACTTGGAATGACATAACAGAATTATGTCATACCCTTACACGTTATTGTAAATTTCGTAAAGACTGTAAACGGTCACACACATCGTGAAGAAGCACTTCACGTAGACGATCTGTCTCTAGACCACGAAAGACGGATAACCCCGACTGGTTCTGGTATCATAACAAGTATGGAAAGTCTTCCAGAAATTGCAGAGAACATTGCAATTTTCTCAAATCCAAACCAACTGACTCGAAAAACAACTCGGGAAACTTCCAAGCCGGCACGCGTTAACGGTGACCGTGGCTGGCGATATGATGACGCTACCTAGCAGAAGTTAACGTTCTTCCAGTGAATTCTAACGACCGACTTCACGATGTTTCTATGCCAATCATTGGTATGGACCTTCTACAATACCATAATCTAATCATCGATACGCGCAAACGGAGGCTAGTAGACGGAAACACTAATTTATCTGTTTGCGTAACTTATTTTCTGGTTGCAGATTATCTCCAGTCATAATTAAGCACATAATAGACCCATTTTATCAACCACTGCTCGATAAGTATCCTAGGATACAGCAATCACAACCGAAATTGCCGTGTGTAACCAGCAACGTTACACATTGCGTCACGACTATAGGGCCAACTGTATTCTCGAAAGTAGACCGACTGGCTCCCGAAAACCAAAAACGAATCCGACCACATGATAGACTTAGGTATCATAAGACCGTCAGACAGCCCATGGGCATCTCCGTTGCACATAGTCCCTAAAAATGACAGCAACGATTGGCGTCCAACTGGTGACTATCGACGACTGAATGCGGAAACCATTCCCGATCGTTACCCATTGCCTCACATTCACGATTTGACAGCTACCTTGAAAGGTACAACTGTCTTTTCGAAAATCGACTTGGTTAAAGCGTATAACCAAATCCCTATGGCTACAGACGATATACCGAAAACAGCTACCATAACTCCCTTTGAACTCCACAAATTTTTGCGAATGTCCTTCGGTCTAAGAAACACTGCCAAAACACTTCAAAGGATCACAGACGACGTTTTTCGAGGTCTCAACTTCGTACATGCGTATGTTGACGACTGTCTAATAGCGATTCCGGACAGAGAATCCTATCTCCAGCAACCGGATCTTGTTTTCGAACGACTACGAAAACATGGCATTACTGTAAGCATTCAGAAATGCCAAATCGGAACTGACTCCTTAGACTTCCTAGGACACACTATAGATGCGCAAGGCATTCGACCCTTAGAACCAAAGTAGCAACCATTCTGGATTACCCAGAACCGACCACCATCAAGCAATTACGCACGTTTAACGGCCTGGTAAGTTTCTATAGATGATTCATACCGAAATGCGCATTACTTATGAAACCTCTTACAGACCAACTTCGTGGAAATGCGAAATCCATCAATTTGGACGACACCGCGCGAAAAGCATTCTCCACGGTTAAGGAACTTATCGCTCAGGCAACAATGCTTGCTCGTTAGGACACTGAAGCACCCATTAGTATCGCAGTAGATGCATCCGACTCAGCAATCGGAGGAGTCTTACGACAATGTATTAACCACTCCTCTCAACCTTTGTCATTTTTCTCGAGACGGTTGCAAGACACTGAATCGAGGAACAGCACATTCGGCTGGGACCTCCTAGCTATGTATTGTGCTGAACGGCATTTTCAACACCATATCGAAGGCCGTGAATTCATCCCTTCCACTGACTGAAAACCGCTTACCTTCTCTTTAAACTCTTCTTCAGCCAGGTACTCAACTTGTGAGTCTCGACAACCGAACTACATTTCGCAGTTTACTTTAGATATTCAACACATTTCTGGAGCAAACAATGTAGTCAAAGACGCCTTGTCTCGAATGACGTCCTTCAACAGTTTCCAAGGAACCGACCTTCTTAAACTCGCCCACCTTCAAAAAGAAGACACTGATCTTCAACACGAGTTATCGTCTACAACCATCAAGCTACGCATCAAACAGATGTGAACAGGTAAGGAAACCTTACTGTGTGACACATCTACAGGTAGGGATCGCCCAATCGTGCCGAAACATTATCGACTCAACGTCTTCAATACGTTGCATAAACTTTCCCATCCAGGTGTTCGTGCAACCATCAAATTTATAGCAGAGCGGTTTTGCTGGCCTGGAATGAATAAAGACGTGAGGAAGTGTGCACGCTCCTGTGTAAGCTGCCAAAAATCTAAGGTTATCGCTACAGACCGCAGACGTCAGTTCGAATCCATACTTTACCGTCGTCTGACCACGCTTCTAGGAATCAAACGTTTACGAACGACCAACTGCCACCCACAAGCGAACGAGTGGGTAGAACGATTTCACCGACAACTAGGAGCTTCCCTATGAGCTGCGAACTTTTCACATTGGACCGACGCTCTTCCACTCGTCTTACCAGGTATTCGCAATACAGTCAAAGCTGACATTGGATACACTGCAGCTCAACTCGTTTATGGAACGACACTTCGACTTCCAGGAGAATTCGTGGATCCTTCATCCTCTTCAATGAACATGGATCTAACCTCCTACATGAACAGGCTCACAGACACAATGCGTTGAGTTAAAGCTGTTTCCACTCGACCGCAATCAACTGATGTTTTCGTTCAACCCGACTTACGACATAGTACACACGTTTTCGTTCATCGAGACTCACATCGACAACCTATCGAATCAGCATACGAAGGATCCTTCAAAGTTCTTCAACGCGAACCTAAGTACTATGTAGTCGATAAGAGCGGAACCAACAACAGCATCGATCGCCTCAAAGCAGCGTGTTTAGAAGGAACTCCTATCTACGTCGATTTTCCTTCAGTACAATCGGACGACACGGCTCCTACACGTATAATACCTCATCTGACAGACAACATGCATGATGATACTTCGACAGTATCCGAAAATAAACATAAAACAACGAGTTCTAGAAGAAGAGTAAGGTTAACAGACCATTTGAACGTTTATTGCACGTAAGACGCTAGTTGACATTTTATATCATCTCGATTTTTCTTTGAACTATATAATATAAAAAAACAATTTTAATATGCTTACATATTTATAAATTTATTCCGAAACAAAACAAAAACTAAAAAAGCCATTTTGCATAAATCCTTTTTACGCTGTTACGTGTGCATGGGTTTATTTTCCTTTTATTCACCCGCATTGTGTTTTTACGCGAGTACGAGTGTATTTCGACATGAAATTACGTATTCTGTTTTTCTTTTCCAGGGTGGCTGGAAAAGACGATAAAAAGAACGATGAGGTTTACGAGGAACCAAAATTTTCTTTGTACATTGTTTTCTTACCATATTGTATTTCATGGTCCCTTATGGTAAGGAAAGACAACCAGACGCTGCTAAACCTAGCAAGCTATCAGAAGAGTGTTTTCCGACGACAAAACTCGTTGGGTTTAAACTTCTGGCTGTCCACGTCTGAGGGTCATTACTTCCCCACTAGGAGGGGAGCGATCTGTATCGGTAAATAAATTACCAAAATAAATGGCTCTGTAAGTCTTCGATATTAGATGCAGACCACATTAGTTGTAATGGACTCACCTAGTTGAAGGCGCTCGTTCATGCATCCGCACCAGATCACGAGTGAGAACGCCGTGCTCAATAACCCCTGCAATCGCTAGCCAGACTAGATCAGACGATCCTCGATATACTGATAGCCTATCAAATATATCTTCGAACCTCCTCGCTTCTGTTTTTTGATTTCACTTGGTAGGTACGATTCATATTAGGTATTATTGGTTAAATCGTTGTCAAACTCCGAATACCTATGGCATCTTCAGTCTGCAGTGGTAAATAAATCCTTAAATAAATGGATCTGTAAGTCTTCGGCACTTGATGCTGACCGCGTTAGTTTTATTGGACTAACCTATCTGAAGGCGCCTCATAATACACACACACCAGATCGCTAGTGAGTACGTCGTGTTGTCCATCTCTTACAACCGTTAGCCAGTTTAAACCAATGGCTTCTCAAGATGTCGATAGCCTGTCAGATATAACTTCGGACCTCTTCACCTCTAATCTTTGATTTGACTGAATTGGATTACTTCGATAATCAAGGTGTTACCGGTGACTGCGTCGTCAAAATCCGAATACCTGTGGCATCCTTAGTGGTGAGCCCAACGTGATCTGGTACACCCATCCTTAAACTGTGAGCCTGTTCCTTGTAGGAACATTATTGTTGGGTCGGCTTCCGGAGAACTTCAACGGAGCCTCCAGAGGCCCAAAAGGAGCCGAAGAGTCCTAGCCAATCAGAGTGTGATGGAACGTTCTAGAATTCCAACGTGGCGTGCTACTATTGGTCGGTAGCATAATGTGTTGTTATCGGATTGGCTGTAAAATGATGTTGATTTAACAGACGCCAAAATCTATAAATACCCATGATTTTCTGTACAAAAATGAACCTTGGAATAAAGTGCTTTCTCTCATTCTTGTGTCTTCTCTCTGGAGTTCAAGTCGCTGTGTAGTTCTAGACTGCGGGTTATCGGAATAGCTTAGGAATCGTATATAGCGTTCAACCTACACGACTTATCAGTGGCGACGGGGATGAAAACTTCAATGAATATTTCCTTGGAGCAATTAGAAGCTTATATAGTGCGTCAAGAAAAGAGGTTTGAAGAGTCCCATATTAGAATCATGGAAACCCTGATGCAGAAATTCTGCCTGTCCGAGAAAAACCCTGTTTCTAGTGAATCTCAAGTATCACATACTGATTCAGTCATTAACGCCATCCATGAATTTAATTTTGATGGTGTAGCAGGTGTA